ACAAATAACTTCATTTCTGGACATTTATGGTTTGATTTCTTTGTATGTATGGATCACTTGGGTTTTTACCAACATCTGGTGAAAATTTCATGTCATTAGCCCCTCTAATAATATATTTACTGAGAACAATTGTGACGTGTTCAATACTTATTTTACCCGCTGTAACTTGCTTGCCACATAAAGTCTTTGTTTAAAATTTTCAATTTGCCATTCTATCCCATGAATCACTGGACAGATAATAATGTAAGTTTCTGGAAATATCTATTGGATGTGCATCTGCAACTGCTTAATTATTGGAGCCAACTCCATCTACTGTGACCAACGGACAGTAGAAAACACAAAAACAGCTGGAGGTCAGTCACTTTAATAGATTTTGAACTATTTCGTTTAAGCAGGCAAATCGCACTGAGATTAGGGCCTGAAGGCAGCCTCAGCCTAACATCATGCTTTTGGACATTGGGAGAAAACCACCTTATGCACAGAGAACATGGAAACCCCTCACAGAAAGACCCCAGGTCCAAACAGGAGATTGAACCCAGGACCTTCTATCTGCGAGGCAACAGTGCTAATCGCTAAACCAATGTGGGAATAGATGACAGTCATTCACAAGACATTCAAGTGCCACTCATTGTGTACAGTTGGAGTCAACCCAGATTGTCTGTTAACAAAATATCTCATGAACAATATCTCATGGATGTATTGGCAGCTACAGAAAGAGACATTAGTCATCATGGCCCTAACTTGATCAGTGTTACAGGTATTGATTTTCAGTTTGGTGTGATACGAGCTGAGAATCTTCCAAAAAAAACTATTTTGTGCACTAACAAATTGAGTGAGATCCTTGCTCAAAACTTTGCTCTTAACTAATTGTCCATCTGCTTGTTTACCAAATACCTCATCAATCTGTGGGATACATCTTGTGCCAACAGGAATTGAATTAGAATTGTTCAGATTGAGTCTGAATGTGCAGAATTTGAAATTGAATGCATTGTTTGGAAATAAATTTCACTAAATTGAAACTGAATTTAATGATTTGAAACTGAATTTAAAGTTTTGAATTTGAATTAATTTACTTTGAAACTGTATTTTGGTTTATTAAAAATTCAGTTTGACTACTTTCACTTTCAGTTCCATAATTCAGATTTTTGTGTCACATCCTGGTCCTTGAGAAAGCCAGGCAGAGTAATCAAACACAGATCCACAGATTTGTGGTGACGTTTCCCTTCTGTATGTAACAGAGTTGATGCAATCCACCATAAATGTGACAAAACAAAGTTTTTTATTGCAGTGATTAATTTTACATAGAAATTGTTACATTTACATCCCATCATGGATCAGTCAGCAGCAGCATCTGATCAATATGTGATCCATGATGTGAAGTAAATGCAACATTTTCTACATATAGGTCAAATTAATCACTGCAATAAAACAACTGTCTGTTTTTGTCACTTTTACAGTGGATTGCATCAACTCGAATGTAAATCTGTTGATCTGTGTTTGATTACTCTGGCTGTCTTTTTCAAGGACCCGGATGTGCGGCACAAAAATCTGAATTTTAGAACTGAAAGTGAATTATAAAACTGAAAGTGAAAGTAGACAAACTGAATTTTTAATAAACCAAAATACAATTTCAATTCTAATTAATTCAGATACAAAATTTTAAATTCAGTTTCAATTTAGTAAAATTCATTTTCAAACCAATGTATTCAATTTCAAATTATCCACATTCAGATTCAATCTGAGCAATTCAAATTCAAGTCCTGCTGGCACAATATTTATCCCATATCAACCACAGGACACATTTTAATGAACCTCTCAAAAACTAATCACTGAATAGTAGGGGTGCAACAATGCATGTACCCGTATCGAACCGTATCCAACAGTGCTTTAGGTTCAATACACACTTGTATGGAACAATTCAGATTTTTAAATTTTATTTTATCATCTTGTCTTCTGAAGATGCTCTGTGTTGAAGGACCAGTGGATCTGTGTTCGACTACTCCACCTAGGCTGCATTTTTGAGCTCAGATCCACTGAGAAACTTGCTGTTTCAGCAACATTTAATTAAAACTGTTCTTTTGAGGTTAAACAAATGTTTATTATTAATTTAAATAAATTACAAGTTAAAAGGGGCATGGATATTTCTCTTTCTTGTATCGAAAAGATATCGAACCGTGAGACTAAAGTATCGAACCGAACCGGACCGTGAATTTTCTGTATCGTTGCACCCCTAGTAAATATGTAATACAACTTCTGGAGACAACCCAGTTTGAGATGGCTGCCTTGGCTAACATCACTCAACATAAAACGGCTACAACCTGATCAGTGTGTTAGTAAGACTCACTCACATCACCAACTTGCATTATTGCATGAGATCTCTAATAACCATATCTTTAAGGCTTGACCAAATCTGCTGTAACACACTTCCTAATATAAGATAATCTTCAAGAAAGGTGACAAAGATTAAACAATTCAAACAAAGACACACAGTTTAACATAAGTTCATGACAAAATGACTACCTGAGACCGACCCAGAAAACATGCTGTATTTATAAAAACTGTCCACACCTTACTGTGGCTGTTGTCACCATATTTCCCCATGAGGTTGACTCGATGACAGTTTTTATACCAAAACGCTCCCTTGTAGGACAGGGCACAGTTTGTCACGGCAATATCGTTGTCGTTGTCGTAGGTGGAGAAAGGTCGGCCATGATGGTAAGCCATGGAGTCACCTGAACACAAGAAATAACACCAATCAGTTGCTTATCATTCACTCCACTGGTTCAGCTCAGAAAGTTTCTTCTGTTTGATGTTGGGAGTTCAACAGGCTGAGAAATGGTCTCATCAACATCCAGGAGCCACTCTGCATGATTTCACTGTTTAATCTCAAATCTGATCATATGTTTCATCGGTTAAAATAAGAGAAAAAAAAAGGCAAAGAAAAAAACGAACACTATACATCTTGAATTTAGTTGTTTGAATATTTTATTACCTTCTGCCAGCAGGTGATAATGTAGCTGTACGTGTGTTTGTTAGCTAAATATCTCAGAAACCATAAGATGGTTTTTAAACTAGTCAGTGGCTGTGTATTTTAAACTGGTTCACATGACCACAACAGGTAATTAAACTTAGAAATCACAACAGCCCTCTTTGAAATGCTACATGCAATCCCCACCTCACCTGTCAATCACTTGGGGGTGGTACCTGGGATGGTCACCCCTCTGGCTCCACCCCTGCATCTTCAGCTTCATATTAGAAGTCCAGTTGTTTGGATTTATAACCTTTTTTTTTGATTGATCATGACCTGGATGACTGAGAATCTTTACTAATTTATCTTTAGCTTTTAGCTTTTCAGCTAATACTTGCTTTAGCATTTGGCTACTATTTTACTAATTTAGGCTTTTGTTGAGTTTTCTGCTAGTTGTAGCTTTTCCTTGCTGTTCTACTCATTTTGGCTTTTAGTTACCTCTTTACTAAATTTTGCCTTTTCTGTTTTGCTGATTTTATTTTTTTAGCTACTGTTCTCTTACTTCTACGGAGCTCGCGAGGGGACATGGGAGATTTTTTTCTTTTGTGTTCCCACGCAATAGTATTGCGTTCCCTTGCAATATTTTTGCATTACCTCGCAATATTGTTTTGCGTTCCCAAAAGTCTTTTTGTATACGAACTGAATTAAATCAGACTTTTATTWTGAAATATCCAGTTACCAAAACAGGATGTGTCGCCACAAGTTCGTGAAATGGACATTGATGTTGCGTGGCTGCACTGTGTTCAAATATCGACATATGACATACTTCCATGTGTGGCTGTGTGATATTTTCATTCTGAAGCTGAATTAAAGCAGTAGGCTAACTCGCTAATGTGTGAGTTTGTTAATAAATCAGCAGCACAACAGTGATAAACAACTTTTGCGAGGGAACACAAAAAGAAAAAAAAATCCCCCATGTCCCCTCGCGGGCTCAGAATACTTCAGCTATATTTGTGATGGTTTTAGCTTTTAGTTTTCTTTTGCCAAATGTAACTTTTAGCTTTTGCTAGTTTAGACCTTTTCAAGGTAATTTTAGCTTTTGCTTTTAAAGTTTAACATTAATTTAATTTTAAAAAGTTTTCAGCAGCCATTCAGCATCAGCAGTCAAACTGCATTTGGATGTAAAATATAAAATTTTCTAGCCCAACTTTGAAGTCAGAGAAAATCCAAAGATCCACATCAAAAACAAATAACAGCAAAAAGCTTCAGGTTATTTAGGTCCTATAGTTACTGTTGGTCAAAATAGGCCTTTGGTGGAGGATTTGCTCAGAGTGCTCCACTAGTTTAAACAAACTTTTGCATGGCTTATGAACTATTTGTTTTATGTAGATTTTTCCTGATGGTTTTTCCAGTCAGCATCAAAGGAGTCACTGAGCTGAAATGTAAGATTTTGTTTATTTTAACCATCCTATGTTTTTCCAAGACATTTCCAGCATGCCGCTGTGCAAAGGTAATAAAATCCACCTTAAGCAGTTCTCAAATAATATTACAGTTTTAGATGCTGTCTGTCCTTGATGCTCCACTGGCTGCTTGGCAAATGGAGCTTGATGGAAAGACTCTGAAACGAAACTACTTCCTGCTCTAAAAGTCACCCTGAAGGCACAGCTTGGTGATTTTACACTCTGGATTTGTTACAGGTTAAACAAAGCAGGTCTCATGTGGTAATAAGTGAGCTTTAAATGGAGCCAAAATACAGTTTCTTTCTTGTTTGTTTGTTTTAACTTTTGGCAGCATTAAGCACCTTGCAAGGCATGTGTAGGGTGTAATTATCATAGAGATTAAATTATCTGTGCACATGGAAAACAGAAGTGGTCTGTATTTTCTCGTCCTTTCACCCAGCATGTACCTGCAGTTCCACTATACGCTCCTAAGTAGAGTTTATAGCGTGTTCTTGGCTCAGCAAGGATAAATTTGTCATACAGCGCATATGCCGACTCCCCGTTGTCTCTCAGGTCCACTCTCAGCTCATAATGTCCCAATGATGTGATTTTGTAGAGGTTGGAGAGACCTGTAGGCCAGGTGTAAAGGGTTTGAGTCAGAAGTGGCCTGAGGGGAAGAAAGAGAGGAAATGATGCTTGAAGATGAGCTCTCTTACCCAGCCAGAACTCATCGTTCATGTTACCAAAGCCAGCAGTGTAGTTTTTCCAGTTTCTGAAGAATTCCAGCTTTCCGTTCTGGCGTCTGAGCAAAACCTGAAAGACGTTGATGAGAAATCAGCACAGCTACCCTCTCTGTGGTGCCCGGGTCAATACTGCTTCCTTATTACCATCCAGCCTCCACCATCTGTGGTCATGTCGCAGTAAACCTGAATGGGCTGACTCTCCTCCCCTCCGATATAAATAGTGTAAAGACCAGAGGTCGTCTCTCCGTTCACATAAATCTGAGCACAGTCCATCGGCCGTGCATACATCTGTCCAACTGAAAACACAAAGCAAAAAAACACAACTTTAAAGACCACAAATGGTGGAGGAATTTTATCTTTTTATCCATGCATGTATCCAGGATGCATCAATCTGGGTTATGTGAAAGAAAAGGGAGAAATAAAGAGTTTTAAAAGGTTTTCCATCTGAACAATTCAGACAGAATGAAAAATATGCACATGTGATCTGTTTGGAATATCACACTGAACAAAAAGTACATCTGGACTGTTGTGCAACTCAGAGATTTTTAACCCATGGGCCGCGGCCCACAATGAGCGCCACCTTGAGGGCCTCAAAAGAACAACAGTTTTTAAATTTGGGCCACAGAGGGCCGTGGGACTGCATTGGTTTTGAATAAGGTGCAATACACTTTCTCACCACTAGTAGCAGTAGTGCACCACTCAGATGTTTAACAACTTTTTTAATATGAAGAAGAACCTTAGAAACCTGCTGAGAATGGAAACTTATTTTAAATGAAAAGTAGAAGCAAAAATAAAGGTAACTCGTAAAAAAAACACCAAAGTTTGTCACTAATATGAAGTACAGCTTCTGTTTCTATCATGCAATATTTTAAAAGTTCAAAACATTATCAAATACAGTTGCAG